ATACATATATTATACATAATATATATATTTAAACACATATTTAGCTATTTATTCATATTGTTGCCTTCTACAATCATCAAGCATTTTGTTTAAATTCTCTTTTTAAACGTGGTACTAATCAGCAAGGAATGTATATAATTCTGGAGTTAGCTGTTATATAAAAGCTTTTATAACAAAAATGAAATAAATAACATAAGGATAGCAATGTGTGATAGAAAGGCATAAAAAGACAGGTGCAAAAATTGAAGCTATAAAAAAACACAACCGTGTGAGTGTGAGAGATGCTGTTGTACCAAGTTAGTGATGTTGGTTTTTTATTGGCTGCTGAGCCTAGGCCAGCCCGCCTCCTCTTCGCTCCCCAGCCAATCAGCGGGCCCGCCTCCTCCTCGGTCCCCAGCCAATCAGCGGGCCCGCCTCCTCCTCGGTCCCCAGCCAATCAGCGGGCCCGCCTTCTCTTCGGTCCCCAGCCAATCAGCGGACCACCTTCCCAGCTCGTCTGCCTGTCAACCCGCGTTCAGCCCCCCCGCATGACGTAACGCCCAGTCTGAAAGTGCAATGGCGATATTGGACAATAACAGCCATCGCGTTTGGGGACCACATCTGTATTATGTGGCTAACATTGAAAAAAACACCTCGAGCCGGATGCGACACCACATATAATATCGGCACAGCCCACGAGCGTGAGTCTGCAAGCGGGGAAGGGGATTTCACTGCCTCGGCGCGGGATGACAGTTTAGACTAAATCCGCTGGTAAGTGCGAACTCCCCTGCTCCTTACAACATTTACAAAGAAAAAGAAAGATTTTTCTGCTAAATTGTTTGTCACAGAAAGCAAGCTTCACATTTTAAAGGGGCGTGGCTGCCTGCTGAGGGTACCACTCACTAAAGGATGCTGATAGCTTAGCAACAGCGACAAGGAAGGAGAGAAGCAAGAAGAGGAACAGAGACAATGGATGTGCAGCCTGGCTGCTCCGTTTCTGGGCAGGCTGAAAGGAAAAAAACAGGGGAGATCCCCAGCAGTCTGTTCCTGCTGAAGAGGATGGAGCCATGGATGCAGAGTGGAAATGTAAACAAAGGGTGTGGGCCTCTCAGCTGGCATCCTACAGGAGAAGGAAACACTATTCATTACAGAGAACACCTTAAAGACATGGTACAATATCTCTGCAGCTTTAAGGAAAATATGAAATAAATGCAAAACTTTATTATTCTTTTTACCTTAAATACTAACACAAAGTGATCAACCCCTAAATAGGAACATGTTTGAGATAAGCCACTAATTTAGTAAATATTTATCAAGATGGAGCCCTTTATTGTTCTATCGCTTTAAAAAAGGTAAAAGAAAACTAGAATTTTCATCACCTGAGTGTTTAGAAATCATACCAAAGTCAGAACAACTGAGCTTTGTTTCCTAAAACTTGACATAATTTCACATGCAAACCTTTTGCTTAATGAGCAACTGGTTCCAGACATAAACAAACTATACAATCTGTCATCCACACACCAGAGGGTGCTGCAGAGAAGGCTTAATAAAAGCAATTAAATACGGTTTATTTAAAAACTGTTGATTAATGTGTAGATTAAATTACAACAATATAACATATATTAGGGTCACTGATTGATAGTTGCTTTTAACTATATAAACGTAAGTGAGCTCAGCACACAGATTATGGAGGAAAAAAAAGCCAAGGCATGTTTACAATAGCTAAAAAAACATTTATTATCATATTACAGATGAAAAAGAGATGATAATAATAGCAATCTCCTTAGGTCAGTAGGAGATATTTTGGGGTACACCCTGGTCTGATGGCCTTTACGGGGCAATATGACATCCAACAAACCATCTATACCATAATCAGACCTAGGAACATTTATAAAACCCACACACACACTGGAAGAACATGGGTGCTCCATGCAGACAGGCCGCCGTCTGGCATTTGAATCCAACACCTTCATTTCATAGGATAGCAGTGCAAAGCATAAGCAGAAATAAGCACAACGAGATGGAAAGGAAGGGAAGGTAATGAAATTCCAGTTCTCCCAGTTGGAGAACAACCACTAGATCTTGAATGCTGTTGTTCTTCAAAGATGTCAGGTTCTGGTGATCATGATTTCTCTTTTCAAATCTTTGTCGACTCATCTTTATAGTAACACTTTGTTAATCAACATGTTGATTTGATTAAAACATTCTTACTCTTAAATTTGCATTATTTGCTCCACTTATAAAATTTTATTAAAATTAATAAATAGTCTAGATTTTAAGGACACCATCCTCTCCACTGCCCTCTTCGTCTTAGATGCCACAGAGTTTTAGGTCTCATCTCTGCTTCAGACATTGCAGTGCTTTGATTTTCCTAATCTTTATGTGGATTTAGATGTGTTCTTTAACTCAGGGTTATGCTAAAAGAGAGGTAGCCCCACATCATGATGCTACCACCGCCATATCTTAATGTGGGTGGGTCGTCTGGTGATGTGCATTGACCTTCCTCATCTCCTCTGGGATTTTGGCCAAAGAGTTCAATTTTTGTTCCTTCACACTGTGATAGATGCTCCTTTGATCTTTTTTTCAGATTTAAATAAGGCCAGGATGCTTTATTTGGTTGAAAATAATTGAAGAATAGAAAAAAGCTTATTTTCTCTTCTAGAACAAAACCTCAATTGTCTAAGCAATTCTGGAACTCATTCAAAGTTGTTGGAATTTCCTAACTTCTTCTGATACGAGGCTTCAACTGTAACTGTGCATTGGTCAGATGATATAAGATAGAAAATTTAGTTTTGTGAAAAAACACTGAAGGTGCGTTTACTGTGAAGCAAATTATAAAAGCCTGTATAATTATTGATAAGTATAGTGGAGGTTCTATGGTGCTGTGGGTCAACTTCTCTCCAGGACCCAGAATTCCTAGTTGAAAAGAATTGTTAAACTGTGCTAGAAAAATACTTTTACTTTAAGAGCTTCTAATGTTGCCATCGAGTAATGAATGACCTATACACCCAGAGAAATACATCTAAGCGTCTTCAATCTATATTAAAAGTCAAGGTTATTTTTCTCTGTTCTGCTTTGTTTGGACCTTTTCCAGGTGTGACGTGTAAACAGACACCATGGCCACACAGGAACCGTCCCCTCCGTCGTCCATGGAGAGCAATAAACCCGGCTACCCCAAGAAAATCCTGGGCAACAAGCTGGAGGACAAGCACCTGTGCAACTGCTGCCACAATATCCTGAGACGGCCCTTTCAAGCCCAGTGTGGACATCGCTTCTGCTCCTACTGCTTCAACAGGACTGTGAGGTCAGAGGCCCCAAAATATCACAATTTGCTATTGTTTCTGTCAAAGTTCTTCATTTGTGTACCCCATAAATAAAATCAGCGGAAGGTATTATATGTATAAAATACCTTCAGATATATTTGTTAGAATTTTTTAAACTTGCACTTTAAAGTGTTTAAACTTTTGATTTTATCCCGCAGCATCATTTTGAGACCTACAGAACTGTAAGCTAAGGCACCAAGCAGCTCACTGACTAAATTACTGGTGAATTCAGAGTCAGATATTTCCCCCAGGAGGTGGTGGAGACCAGCAACAGAAAGCAATAAAATTGATCTGGAGCTGCATTTCATTGAGACAAAAACACTAAGTCATGGGTTTGTTTTATGACTGAGATCCATAAGGAGGGGAATGGCTGCAACAAATGAGAAGAATTCAAGCTTATAACTATTACATTTTCTACATCCAGATGATGTACATTTATCACGTTTATTATGTTTTTATTATCTGAAGGCCTGCAGGCTGGTGAACTTATTTTTGTGAAGAATCCATCAGTGAACTTCTACATTGGCTCTCGTTTTTTTTTTTTTTTTTTAATGCTTTAAAGTAATAAAGCTGGGAAAGCTATATATATAAAATTAGGACCCAGAACCAGCTCCTCCGATCAACTGATGGTGACAAATATTTTTTTTATTCACAAAAAAAAGCTTATAAAGAAATAATGTAGTTACATCAAATCTTTTTTGTTTCTATCTTTTATTTCCTTCCTATTCGACATGCAGTTTCCTCACATTCTCACAAACGGGTTTGGCTTTTTTAAAGTTTATTTATCTGTAAAATGCGTAAGGCTCAATGCGTTGCAGGTAGAGACAGAAAAACATGGAGCCTGAAATTTCCCCTCATCCTTGCGTCAGCAAATGGCTCTATCACTATAAAGAAATCTGCGACTCTCTCCTGAAGAACACGCCTCAAGCCGCAGGTACAGCTTAACGTCGATCGCTCTTAGCTGCTGGCATCCTGCTCTCTGTGCAGGCCGTCGCTCTGATGTCCCAAAACTCAGTAGTTTCAGTTGGGGATCTGTGTTTTGTATCTTTCCTAGATAAAATTATAGCTAGGACCTGCTGTTTCTAATAGTTTTTTTTACATGAATGAATAGACTATCCTGCTGTAGAACTTTAACTGCTAAAGAAAGATTTTGACCGTAACATTTTGTGCTCATACCAGCAGGAGTCTGTGAATAGGATCAGTTGTGGCAGGAGCAGGTATGGAAAGCCAAAAGTGCCACAAATTCAATACTTTAAAAACCTGCTATATTTCTATTTGTAAATGTGAAAATTTAGATGTTAAATGCATACAAATATTTTGTATCCTAAATAAATCTACACTTAACTGTGCCGTAGGAGATCTTGGAAAAATGGTTCCAGCAGGCTATATTTTTGAAAATGCACAACCATGCGTCTCCCTTCAAAACCACGCCTCGAAACCACGCCTTCAAAACACATGAATGTCTGTTGAGGTGTTTGGATGTTTCCGAGATTGAGACCGAAACGAGCCTTCCGAGTGCTCGTAACACGAGCTAACAACAACATAACAGTGGCTAGCTTCCCATGACAATTTAGTAGCAATCTCAACAGCAGGAACTGCTTTGTATGCTACTACCCAATTGAACCATTGTTTCCCAACGGCAGAAAGTTTCAAAAAGGATAACAACTAGTGCCATCAGTTACTTAGCAACATTCAAACCACAGGGATGTAAATATTTTGACAAGTCGAAGGCGGTCTTGATAGCGACGTTGCGATACGGGAGTGAACAGCTAGAGCAGCAACGCTTGTGGTTGCAAACCAAAGCCATGTAGAAAATCGAGCATAAGCATACCCAAACAAGCAAAACATGTTTTTTTACAAAGCATTACATTGACAGCATGGGCTTTGATGGTCAAAGCCATGTTTCGTTGAACGAAGTTGAGTGAAGCCAGAATAGAGGGTGGAGGTGGAGGCGGCTTAAAAGTCCTCGCTTTGTTGGTGTTGAGTTTGATAGTTGCTGGCCGCGCGTTGTCATAACTAACAAAAAACACATGGGAATCACAATTTGTACCCTATAGAGCTACTAGAGAGTAACTCGCAGACTAACCATGGCTTTGAACTAGGTAAAGTGACTGAGTTCACGTGATGTCACTGGTCCTCCCGCCTGCACGAGCATTGGGGGGTCGATTCGTTCATGTGTCAGGGTACCTGCACAGGGGGGAGGGAGAAGCAGACCACCCTAATTGACGTGTCAGGAACCAACAGCGGACCACGGATTGTGTTTTGTGATTGGTGAATGTTACTCATTGATGTCTCACTGTAGCGGGGACCATTTATTTTAGTCTCACTTCCAGACCTTCTATTTAACCGCTTGCTACGCGGCTGCTGGGAGATCTTCTAGCCACATGGTAAAAAAATACGTCAGAAAAGATGTCCTGCTACAGCTTTAAATATTTCTTAATTTAAATGGTTAATGATTATCTAATATAGATTTTTAATTAATGGCCATTATTCATATATTTGCTTTGAAGTTAAAATCATTCTTGCTACTTAAAGTCAAAAGATTTAGATTTGTAAAGTGATCTATAGCTGATTTCTTTATGTGCTCTAATAGATGAAGACATGGCCTAAAAACCAAAATAGGTCTTCTTTTTTTTGTGGTATTATGATTGTGTACTTTTACCAAAGTCATGGTTGCACAGATTTGGTGTATCTGCACCAAAATGAATGACCATATACATTCAAAAAGAACCACTTCCAGCTGTTTAATCACTCAGGCTAAAGGCAGAGGTAGCCAGCGTGTAGACAGCTGCTTAAAGTTCAGGGGTCCAGCGATAAAAGAGCTTTCACAAAGTTAAAAAGATGGTTAGTGAGCGACCAGTTTTCACATTATGACCGTCTGAGTTTTTGGCAAGCTGATGTACTTCTGAACAGCAGATATTATGTTTTTGTAACTGAGGGAAAAGTGTTACAGTTTTAATTTAGCCTCCTGGCTGACAGTTTGCAGCAAGAGGTGGTGCATCTGAGTATTAAAAGTTGAAGAACTTCAATGGTCCAAAGACCAAAACTAAAAAATATATGTTATAAACCTCTGCATGCCATTGTACTACAATCAGTCCAATGCCTACTCACCATAAACTGTGCACTTAGCCATGCTTTGAAACCCCCTCACCAGCAGGGGGCAACAAAGTGTGCTGAAAAACAGAATGACAACATCGAACTTGTATATTTTGTGCTTTATTTATAAATAATGAGCTTTTAAATCTGTTACCGATGTTTTCTGATTCAATGTCAGATTCCTTTTTGTTACAAAAATTTATCTCAGCTTGTTAAAACAAAGAATTATACTTAGCAGCCTCTACGGGGATCTCTAAGCGAATGTTTAAAAGGGAGCATAAAGGATATAAAGTCTTACCCTCCTTTATGACTGTCTGCTGATGCATGTATTTAGAGATTTTTTTTAAATCTTTGCAGTAATGGACCCCAGAAATGCAACGCCTGCATTAAAGAAGATATTTTCGAGGAGCCTACATCGGTTTTGAAACAAGGATGTGTGAGTATAGCTACATGTTAGGAATGAATGCTTACCTTATTGCCAAAGCTTGGATTTTAGGCCCCTTTTCTTCAACCCTTCGGTGTAAATGCTAGTTTAACTTGCCTAATGTTCTGGAAGCTTTAAGAGGATTGTAAAGAAAGCATTAACAATTAAATCACAATTATTATCATGATCGTATAATTTAGAACAGTTACAACTGTATGATTGTGTTGTATAATTAAATTTTTTTATGGTAATTTTAAGGAATAAAATCTGACGAAATGTTTGTTCTGTTTTATTCTTCAATGTTTTCCAGGCATTTCCTGACAACGCTGTCCGAAGGGAAGTTGAAAGCCTGTCCGCTGTTTGTATCAATGAAGACTGTACTTGGAAAGGCACTATTAAAGAGTACGAGGTAAACTGGGAATAGGCGTTGCACGCAACACAGTGTAGGACACCATTTATTTCTGAATTTGGATCTTGCATGTTTATCTAGAATGAGCCGATGATTCCTCTGCTTTGCTATTGCTGCTGTCCCACTGAAAACACAGGTTTTTTTAAAACCCGGGTTGACCCGCTAACAATCGGCTTTTGGCGATTCTCCCCCATCACTGTCCCCCATCACTGCGTTTCTTAATCACACTGGGTGAGAATCGATGATGTCGACAGTGCGACAGAAATCAGGGAAGTAAATAATGGAGAGCAACGTGGACGGGAGCCAGAGCGTAGTCAGTGTTCTTTATTATTCCGCTCTTTTGTTTGTCCGAATCCCTCTCTTCAGCGCTGCTTGATGTTTATCGAATGTAAACAGAGTTGTTTCAGCTTGTTAGATCAGACATGGCTGGTGCGGTGTGTTGATGTCCGTTGATGACCTTGCGTTCAGTGGTGTCACGTAATTTAGCAGGTTTTTCTACAGCATACCAATCAGAACCATTTAAACACAAGTCGCTAGCCGAGTCATTTTACCTCTCTAGAGACGCGCTTTTAGTGGCAGTTCCCACTGTCACTAAAAGCTGATTTTTCCCAGGTTTAAACAGGTTTTTCAGCCAGTGTGAAAGGGGTATATAAGAGCATTGGAAGTCGCCAATAGAGACTGAAGTGCTTTTGGCATAAACAGCGTAAATCTGTAAGGTATCATTTTTTTGATGGTGTGCTATCAAGACTGGTCAAGGAAACAGAATATCTGTGATGTTTTCAAGACATTCCCACAGTTCCTGAAAGTGTTTGCAGCAGCCCTCCTTGTTAAACTGTCATTCATGAATCCACACTGCAGCAATCTTAGGCTCCGCCTCCAAGTCCAAACAACGGCCGTTTCTCAATTCCTAAGGACGCAAAATATGGACCCGTGTTCTTGCCAAGTATGTTTTTAACAAAAACACAGCAACACAGTGAGGGAATAATTATCAAATAAACCCAATTCAAAAAAACATTTTGCCAAATAAAACAAAAAACTGCCATCAGAGCCAGCGGTAATTCACACACGGCCATGCCGAGAGAAGGCTACTGCAGACGGGCTAACATTAGCCCTGGCTGTGGTTGCCCTCTGAGCTCCGCTGATTGTCATGCTCCTCTCAACATTGGAACTTATTTTATCCACTAAATCAGTCAATTTACAAACTGTATGCATGTTGAGAAACGGCCAGGAACAGATTTTGGGATAAAAAAGTACAAACAAAACAGTTCAAATCTAAAAAGGCTTCTTTCTGGTATAAAGTCTTATTAATATTATTATATAATTGTAATAAACTTAAAGGACCCAATTTAGCTTCACACATTTAACCCCAACTGTCTCCTGATCAGTAATGTTATCCTAGCACTCACAATAAATCCATCCATCTATCAGTAGAACCCATAACAGGTTTTTCAATCAGGTATTATTCTTGTCTTCTTTCCGTTGGAGGGCACTGGAATGTTTACCTCTCCATTACTGCTCCAGCACCTGACAGGAAGTCCTGCATTTTACCTGATTTTTTAAAGCAATTATTGGTTTCCTAACTAAATCTGCATAATAGATGTTTACTAACATCCAATGGCCATGAAGGTAGTGATGAAGGCTCTCAGGTTTTCAGCTGTGTTTGCTGTCAGTTAAACTGTATGTGAGGTAAAAGGTAGAGGTTAAGCATATAATGAATATAGAATAAATAAACCGGTAGTTTCAATCAGGGAATGGTATGTGCATCTGTTAATGCGCAAACTGTGTTTATACTGTAAATGGTGTATTTGGGGGAATTTCCAAGTGCATGCCTTTATGCATGCAGATTACAGTAGGGCCCTAATCTTCTTAATGACTCCTCACTGTTTGTTTGGTCTGTTGCACTGCAACTAGAGGAGGGATCAGAATCAAAACCTTTAAAGTAGCAGAAATGTTTGCACAGTTCCTTCATGTATTTGCATAGCTGAGGGTGTTACCGATCTGCCGCTTCCCTTCAGCATGAGTTCCTCTTCCCACAGATGAATCACGAGGGGAAGTGTGAGTTTATGATCATCCCCTGCCCCTCCTGCAAAGAACGGATCCGCTTCAACGAGCAGGAGCGCCACAACGAGCGGGAGTGCCCGGAGAGGACGCTCAATTGCAAGTACTGCAAGGAGCCGTTTCACTTCAAAAACATCAAGGTTGGAAATCATTCATTTAGATTTGTTGAGGGGAAGAGGCGCAGGGCGGCTTCCCGCTCTGTGTGTTAGTAAGCTTGTTTGCAGCTAACAGAATTGTGACCCTTTGGTTTTTTTAGGCGCATGATGAGATCTGCCCCAAGTATCCGATGATCTGTGAAGGCTGTGCCAAGAAAAAAATACCAAGGGAGAAGGTACCATTGGAAAATACAATATTATCTTAATACTTCTCAAGATACTAATACAAAAATGTATGTTTAAATTGTTATTCAAAAAACAGGTCAGAGAAACAAACTTATACAAAAAATCATTAGAATTTGGAGAGTTCAATACCTAATAAACTATTAAAAGCATTAATCTGTCTGTCCATCCATCCATCATCTGACTGTCCACCCATCTATCCATCCATCCATCGGTCTTTCCATCCTTTAATCCGTCCATCCATCCATCATCTGACTGTCCACCCATCTATCCATCCATCCATCGGTCTTTCCATCCTTTAATCC